GTTTCAGTAATTCCTCTCGGTTACATTGCCCTTGATCAAGCTCTACCAGAGCTCTTAGACCCTCCTCGCCATCGACTTTAGATCAGTTGTTGTTCCCTTGTCCCTGGGTTTGTTAACACCAACTTCTTTTCCCCCACCTCCCCCTCTCCCAGGAGCCCAGGAACTGTCAGTCTCATTGTTTTCTCCCCCGGATTGTTTATCCAGCCTATCTTATCTAGATAGACATGCTGAGATAATAATATGCACAAAAACAACACAGAGCAAAACAAAGCAACAAAAGAAAGCAAAACAACAACAACAAAAACGACCAAAAAAAAGAAGTCTAAATACAGGCATGTACATATATATTTATGTCAATATATTTATATCTGACGATGGGGAAACAGATCTATGTACAAATATTAATAGGTTTAGTATTAAGGTTGCAGATGGACATTGGGCCTCAACTCAAGTACTCCCTCAACACAAAAACACTTTGTTCTAATAATCTGGCATTCTGTGATGCTCACCTTGCCAACACGATCGCTGAATACAAGTGTGGTGAAGAAAGCTGATGGTGCCTGGCTACCAAAAGATACAGTGTCTGGGGTCTTAAAGACTTGAAGATAAACAAATGGCCATCTAGCTGAGAAGCAGCAAAGCCCACATTGAAGAAGCACACCAGTGTGTGTGATCATAAGGTGTCCATAGGATCAGGTATAAGGCATCAAAAACCCAGAACAAAAAAAGCTTATCATTGTGAATGAGGGGGAGTGCAGAGTGGAGACCCAAAGCCCATCTGTAGACAATTGGGCATCCCCTTACAGAAGGGTCACGGGGAGGAGATGAGCCATTCAGGGTGCAGTATAGCACTGATGAAACATACAACTTTCCTCTAGTTCTTTAATGCTTCCTCTCCCCTCTCCCCACCACTCTCAAGACCCCAGTTCCACCTAACCAATCTGGCTAGACCACGGCATGCACACAGGTACAGAAAAGAGCTGGAAACACAGAGAATCCAGGACAGATAAACCCCTCAGGACCAATATAGAGAGTAGCCATACCAGGAAGGGAAGTAGAAGGTAATGGGAGAAAGGGGAAACCTATCACAATGATCTAACTATAACCCCCTCCTAGGGGGGTGGACAGGGAAACATCGGTGAGATAGTTTATTGTGCCAGCCTGGACGATAAACACAAGTGGGATTAACTGAAGGGCAGAGAGATAAATGCCTTGGTGAGTCTCGCCTTTCTTGTCTCTCGCTCTTTGATCATCGGACCAGTGTGCGGCTGCCTTGCTTGTCCTGTGCCTCAATTTAAAGGCTACACTACCTGTGGGACGCCTAGCCTGTGGACTGTGTCGCTGTAAGTTGAGGTCCCTTTAAGAGATCACTGGAGCTGGGGACTGGCAGTTGGTGACCTGGCTGGCAGTTGGTGACCTGCCTTCTGATTGGCTGCTGTGCTGACATAGCCTACCTCTCTCTATAAATAGAGGAAGATCTGACAGCAGACAGGACTTGAAGAACTGCTGGTCTCTCACAAGTCTCTCACGGGAGTGAGTTGAATTGAGCCATTTGTAGTGCTTTATAATTTAACTGTTTCTTTCTTGTATTATATATTTATCTGTATATGATTTAACAGTTCATTTCTTGTTATATATCTAGTTATCTTTATAAATAAATATATTAAATTATCAGCAATTTGGTTTTATCTCTCTAGAGAACCCTGTCTAACACAATCGGTCAGTGTAAGACATGAAAAAATAATAATAATTTATAAATTATCAAGGGTTCATGAGAGTGGGGGGGGAATGAGAAGCTGATACCAAGGGCTCAAGTAGAAAGAAAACGTTTTGAAAATGATGATGGCAACAAATATACAAATGTGCTTGACACAATGGATGTATGTATGGATTGTGATAAGAGTTGTATAAACCCCCAATAAAATGATTTTTAAAAACACACACACAAATTTATTGATGAAACTCAAGTCTTAGGTTAACAAAAATAAACCACTATAAAAATATAGCATATTCATGGTATATAAGCACTTCAATGTCAATTTAGGTAAAGAGTAAAACCTGTAATAACTGAAACCTGTGTAAAGCAGAAACCTGTTCAGAGAAGAGAAACTTAGATATTTACCACTTAAAGAAGCAAGAGAAAACTGTAAGACTCCCCCTGTCAAAGGCAGAATACTTTCAAGACCTAGAAAAACAAAGCAGTTCCAGACAGTTCTGGCTCAAAAATTTGAAAACAAAACCAAATATCTGGTACATGTCAGAGTTGGAATTCAGACACTCAAATCTGAACATTGACACTGAGATGCTGCACTATTCAACCTTACTGATTATTTTAAAAATAAATGAAAACCTTGGGTGATGTTGTGTGATACCTTCTTTCTTTGTGGTCAATTTGTCTCATGACCCTTTTTCATAGGGAAAATTGGGATGCAAAGTAAGTAGTATGTCCCCTTTTGTGTAACCTTAAGCAACATGATTTTAAAAAACCAACCTTCTAGCAAAAAAAAAATCTTCGTACAAACCAATTACTTCATTATTCCCAAAGGCTACATTTCTACAAGGGGAATCCCTGGGTCAAGGAGTATGCACATCTTGACAACTTGAGACCGATCGACCTTGTACCAATACATGCTCCCACCAAGGAGCATAGTTTGAAAGTGCCTCTCCCGCGACATCCTCACAATGCTATGGGGCAGAAGGGAGGCAGATCTTCTCCTATGTGAATTCCAGCATTCCCTCTCAATGATCCTGCCCCAGCCAGCCTTATCAGAAGGACATTGGGCCTCCACTCAAGTACTCCCTCAACGCAAGCATACTTTCTTCTATTAAATTGGCATTCTATGATG